GTGTAGTTAAGAATGTATTAGTATTAGATTCTGCTTTGGAACCATTGGCATATCCTTTACTATTCCCAAATGGAGATTTTGGTTGGCACGTTAATATATCGCATAACGTGCAACATAATTCTAATGGTAGGCAGATTCGAAATAAAGTTACAATGTTACAATTTGCATGCTTCAGATTTGCAATAAGGGATCAATTTAGCTTTTTGCATAAATCGCAAAAACTATTTTTGCAATACATTGTTCATATGTATGTGAGAATAGAAGTATGTCGACTACATTTTATAAGACAGAATCAAGTAAATTTGAGGGCAGATGTGTATAACAATATTAGTGATTATTTGCAAACGAATCAAGTAGGAGATGGTAGCTTAGGTCGTAAAGTGATTTTGCCTTCATCCTTCACTGGGTCTCCGAGAAACATGTATCAAAATTACTTAGATGCAATGTCAATTGTTCAGTACTTCGGCAAGCCATCGCTTTTTGTTACAATGACTTGCAATCAGAATTGGGCGGAAATTGTATATAATATTGATCCTAATGAATCATCTCATTTCAGGCCTGAAATAGTTGTGCGTGTATTTAAATCGAAGTTAAAAGAACTCATTTCTGACATTTGGAATAAATATATTTTTGGCAAAGTTGAGGCTCTTATATATACAATCGAATTTCAAAAAAGAGGTTTGCCTCATGCTCACATTTTGATAACTTTATGTGAAAATGACAAAATTGTCGGGCCGGCTGATATTGATAAAATAGTTTGTGCAGAGATACCGGATAAAAATTTGCAGCCAAAATTACATGAATTTGTTGTCAAACAACACCATGCGGTGTTTTGAATCCAAGCTCTGTATGTATGCAAGATGGAAAATATTCAAAACAATTTCCAAAGGATTTTGTACAATTAACGAAAGAATCAGTTAATGGTTATCCGTTGTATAGACGGCGCGATAATAATGTTTCCGTTGATGTTAGAGGAAAATCTTTAGATAATCGTTATGTCGTTCCATACAACCCGTATTTGTTTGCAAAATATAATTGTCACATTTATGTCGAGGTGTGCACTTCCGTCAAAAGTATTAAGTACATATATAAATATGTATATAAGGGTTTTGATAGTGCAACTGTTTTAATTCAAAGTGAAAGCACAAACGAAAATGACTAACAAGTACAAGTTGAAGTAGATGACGTTAGAAATTTTTTGAATGGTCGATATGTGGGATCAACTGAGGCTATGTGGCGAATATATAAATTTCCTATGCATTTTCAGTCTCATATTATAATTCGTCTTGACATTATTTTGACACAAAGACAAAATATTATATTTCGCGAAGACCAAGAAAGACAAGCAGTAGAAAATCCTAAGCTTACGAAGCTATTAGCTTTCTTTCAATTGAATCAAAGTGATTCATCTGCTAATCAATATACGTATATAGAAATTTCATTGCATTATGTTTGGATTGATAGTAGAAAATCTTGGCAAAAAAGACAACGAGGAGGAGATAAAATTATTACTCGGATGTATATGGTGTCTCCCAAAGAAATTGAGCAATTCCATTTAAGATTATTTTTGTTGCATGTAAAAGGGCCAAAATCATATGAAGATGTGCGTACATTCAATGGAATTGTTTATAGGACATTTATCGAAGCATGTCATGCTAGGGTAATTGCGTCCAATTATAACGAGTGGAGAGTTTCTCTCAATGAAGCTAAGACATTTAACTCAGGAAAACAAATGCGTAATTTGTTTGCGATTAATTGTGCCTTCAATATTCCAGCAAATGCATTAGCGCTTTGGGTGGAATTTAGAGATCAATTAAGCGAAGATTTCGTTAGAGATGGTTGTAGTGTAGATGTTTCTTTTAATAGAGTATTATTGGAAATCGAGGATATTTTGTTAACACATAATGTTACATGTACGTCACTTGGTTTGCCTACACCTACAATAATGCCAGAATTTGCTGATCTCGATATTTTTGATCCTTTCGTAGAAGAATGTTTATTTAATGAGCTTTATGATTGCGCAAATAATGAACAGCGTGATACTATTGATAAAGTTATTCGTGAAGTTCAGTATTACGATACAGGATCAAATGTGTTTTGTTTGACATCCCATGCAGGTTGTGGGAAAACATTCACACAAACGGCTATAATTTGTAAATTAAATTCCCTTAATCTTCGCTGTATTTCGTGTGCATTTAGTGGTATTGCTTCCACTTTATTGATTGGTGGAAAGATACTCCATAATGTTTTTAAACTGCCTATAAATCTGATGGAAAATACAGTTCCGAATATAAAAAAAGTAGTAGTTATGCCAGATTTATTAATTCGGCGGCATTATTTATAATAGCAGTAACGATTGCAAATTGTATTACGAGTTGGGCAGAATTCCCGTTTTTCAATCATATAACGTTAACTCAAAATATGAGAGCACTCCCCGAAGAGTTGGAATTCGTTCAATTTCTAAAGAGAATTGGCAATGGTGAAGATTTAGTAGAAATTCCAGCAAATTTGATAGGTGTTGAATCTAACACAGTACATGATATTTTTGGAGATATTAATGAAACCATTTTATCAGATAGAATGTTGAAGTCAGTTGTGTTAGCTCCAACTAATGCAGATTGTGGACTTATCAATAACGATGTATTGAATCGCATCGCTGGTGAAAAAAAGGTTTACTACAGTTTTGACAGAATTATTTGCGAGGATAACAGTGAGGTGTGCAACTATCCAGTAGAATTTTTGAATACTTTGATTGTAAGTGGTTTGCCACCACATAAGTTGGAGCTCAAGATTAATGCGATAGTTTTGTTAATTCGAAATTTAAATACGTAGCAAGCATTAGTGAATGGGACGAGAATGCGAGTCAAAGCAATGCATAATAACACAATAGATTGTGAAGTACTCACTGGAGTTGCTCGCGGAAAACGTGTTTTGATTCCACGCATACACTTGACGTATTCAGGGACTGCACTGCCATTTAATTTTCAAAGAACACAGTTTCCACAGTCATCAGCGCATTTGCTATGACAATTAACAAATCCCAAGGACAGACATTTGATAGAGTTGGAATATTGTTGAGGAGACCTGTTTTTTCGCATGGTCAACTTTACGTTGCAGCCAGTTGAGTTAGATCATTTGACGGACTTAAATTTTATGTCAGTAATGAAGGTGGACAAGGTCATTTGGCTAATGATGAAAGGGTGTTTACAAAAAATATTGTTTACACTGAAGTTTTGAGAACTTCGTGATATAAAATATAGAATTATTATTATGCATTATTATCATTTTAGATTTCATTCAGTTTGAATGTTTTTCAATATTTAATTTTTTTCATTCGTTCATTTGCCAATTTCATTTCTTTGTTTCTTGCCTTCACTGCATACCGCGATTTGATTTCGTGATGGCAGAGTATAGGAATTTGTTTGATAATTAACACGGGAGCGAGATGTTGTGCAAAGTCGCATTGTCGAAATTATGGATTCAATAAAGAATAAACGCGATCAATTGAAAATCGAAGGAATTTTTTTTGTTTTTTTTTTTTTAATTATTTTATTATTTAAGGTATTAAAGAAAATTGAAGGATGAACGCAATAAATTGCGTCAGAATTTCGAATTTCTTCAGAAGAAGGTGCTGTTCTACAAAATTGCTGATTCCTATACTGATAACTTTCCGATATCACCTGAAGAACAAATGTACGGAGCAGATGTTAAGATAATTTATTTGTTGAAAAGATTTCAAAATGGAGCATCAGTTCGAAACTTTATCGGTATTTCATTCAAACAATTCATCATATTTCATATTTTATACTAATTATTTTCTTTTTTCGCAGGTGCATATGTGGTCACATATGACGAAAAATTTAAATTAAACGATTTGATTGGATTGATAATACAAGGAAGAATTAAGCCAAAACCAGAAACACAACAAATAATTTTGCACGAGATGAAATTATAAATTTTAATTTATTTTTTAAATTGTTTTCTACAACTTTCTTTAGATTTTGTTCATATTTTAATCAAATTCATCAATAAAATTTAAATACTATTAAAATAAATAAATTGTATTTTCTATTGGTCGAATTTTGACCACTGGCGACCCTAGTAATAAATAAATTAAGCAATATGCCGTTCATTCAAATTCCAGACAGCTGTAGCTCCTCGATTAGGTGCAATTAGCATTTTAGACAGCACTTTTTCATTATCAGTAATATCCATTTTATCAATCAATTTATTTACTGACAAATTTAAACATATATATACACATATATAAACACATATATTGCAGTCTTAATGTCTCCAATATCACATTTGTACATACATAATGATTTTTGTAGGGCATCATTTTTTGCAATAAAAAAAATAATATATTCTATTACTCTTGACATGGGGGTTTCCAGTACAAGAAGATAAAGCATCAAAGTATATGGAAAAATTGTTTCAGGGATTTCTTTACCATTCACTTTGTTACTATTCTATGTATATTAAAAAAATAAACAAATAAAAACAAGAACGAACAATTGTTGGTTGCAATGAATTTGAACTGAACATCAGTTGTGATTCGATCGAACATTGTTGCATGAGGTTGCGTGGATTTATTATAAATCCACCAGCAAAATAAATTGGGTATTTAGTTTGTATGAGCGTGGCACTTCTTTATACTTTAGAATCTTTGCCTACAGTGTTGTGTTTTACGACAGTATCAGTGCACCTGCATCAACCCTCAATTATCCTTTAATCGTTTCGTCACCCCTACGGTTAATTCTGAGCCTTTATTGTGTTATCGACGAGTCGCAGCGACTTTTCTTTTGCTTCAGCCATATCTCGAACTAGTCTTTTGATCTCATCACAACACAACTTAAGCTCAATAAAGTACTGCTTAAAATACTGTCTGCTCCACTTGTTGCAAATTCTGATCCAATTTTTGCTTCAGCTCACAAGAATTCTGGCCTAATTTTTGCATCATATTCTGCTCCAATATTTGCTTCTTCTGCGTCATAAACTCCATAATTTCAGCTTTGCCAACCTATTTAGCTTCACTCGCTACAGATGTCTCTTCAGCGAATTCTTTGTCATCTATATTTACACTGCTCGCCACAATAGCCTCACACAGCTTTACCTGCAACTCCACCTTAGTACCACCTGTGGTAAGCCCAGCTTCTCAATCTGCATTTTCAATTGGACCACGGTTAACTGCTGGAGCCTCACCATTTTTCCTTACCCACTTCTGACGCCAATGTTGCATACGTTTCGAAATTCGAAGTAGTCGTTCGCCGCGCTGGATAAGTTTTATCATACGGCAACACACAACTGTCTCTAGTAATCATAAAATAATACAATTTGACTTTCAACTGACTGTCATATACTTAGAAAACTATTTCTATCTTTACTCAGCTTTTAAATCCACAATAATATAAATGTAAAAAACTTATATGATGATAAAATTTTAATATTTGATAGCGAAATAAATAAAAATATTTGTTTTGTAGAGTCCGAAATACACACCACCAATTGAATTCGTGGATGAAGCTGCTTTAAGTCCTCCCGATGGTTACAAGGACAATGGGCTGAAAAACACTTTAGGTGGGGTTTTGAGCAGTCATATTTTTGGTGCGCAGCACATTCAACAACTGCAAGTAATCCAACGTTTACAGCAGCAGCGTGCTGTAATGTTTGCTGCTCGAAGTACAAATCAAATATCTTCATCATCTGCTGTATTAACTAGTCACCAAAGTCGAAACGCAGATAATACCTCACCGCCTAGTAATGTCGCAATGGGAGCTATCCAAAAACCGCAACAGCACTCCCCTGATGCAAATTCACAGGGAATTTGCACAGAATGCGCAGAATGTGCTGAATGTGCCGCCAAGCAATTGCAAAGTACAGGTAAATAATAACTAAGTAATTGAATTGTGCAGACATAAACAATTCTCTCTTTAAATAGTTTTTTGTTATGATAAAGTGTAGTAAAGGTTTAAATAAGTAAGGTTGTAGTACAAATAAAATATTATTTTTTCTTAAATTTTTATGTATAACTTATAAGATGCAAAAGAACCACCTAGCAATAATATTGCGAAGAGTAGTTCTACTTAGAAACCCATCTCTCCTTGAAATATTACAAAAAGCGTTTAGGATATCATGGTCCAATAATTGTAGGGATTTGTAGAACTGCTACCCAATATCTATTTTTCGGCAGGATCATCCATTGATTGTTCGAATTTCTCCACGGATAACTCTATTATCTTATGGTTACAGACACTCAAATGAACTAATGCTGTTCGTATTCGGTTTGACGAATTATTTAGATAATCGGATTTTTCAGATAGTAAACGAAGTCTCTGGAGTTAAAAGTAATTAATGCGATTAATATTCACAGTGAAACTATTCGGAAAATTCGTGAGCAAAAGTTGAAGGAAGAGCATCAAATGCCTATGAATGTGCGTCACAGAAATAAACACAGATTGTTTTAGGGATCATTTTTTTGATAGGATTTTTGTTGTAATCGAATAATCATAACTTCGAATAAAATCTTCGATTTTTAAAATATCCTAATAATATGAACAGCACTAAAGTGGACTATTTTTTGTTTTAATTTCTTCAAATTATAAGGACCGGATGATACCCAGCAGAAGAGAGAAGAAGAAGAGAGTTTAGAGTTGTAGTTATTGAACTACGTACAAGTAGTCCGCGTCATTCATGGTAAAGGCTCCAGAAATGATTATTGATATAGAATTAAGGCGTGTTATTAATCCAAAAATTGAGATTTTTTTTCAATTTTCATTTCATAAAAATTTAGTGTTACAAAGTGTTATTCAACTGAAATGTTCTAAAATTACATGAAAATAAATTGATGACAAATAAACAAATATAATATAATTGAATAATAATATATTTACCATGATTTATCGTCATACATTTTGTTATATTTCTTTGTAATAAATCAAAATATTAACAACATTAAACGTCAAATGAAGAAAGCTTTTGTACAAAAGTGCTGAACTGCATCAAAGCTCAATAAAGACCGATTTTCAGCTTCTACATTATTTATAGATGACAATTCGCCGTAAGCTAGGGTTAATATTACGGAAGAACAAAAATAAATGAACTTTGGCGACGTTCAATGGACTCCATCGTTTTAACAGAGGGCACCGTTTATCGTGAACGCTGTAACAGGAAGAGGCTCTTGATTTTTCGAATTTCAATTCCTTGACTAAGACAAAGAGATGCTATGTGACTGAATTGAGCGTGGTGTAATTTGATTAAAGGAAAGAAAAATTTCAAATTACTGGATTATATTTTATATAAATTCAAATATTTAAGCATATTTATAAGTGAAAAAAACTTTTATAATTACTAAATAAACGAAAAGAAAACTAAGTATTTCATTTCTAATAGAAGAGAATTTTAAATTAATACTATGCATGCAAGTGACTCCATTGAACCTTGTATTGAAACAGTATGTTATAAAAATTTAATTTTAATAACTAAATTGCGTGATAAAAGTAAGCATGATTCAGGGCCTTATAGAAAGGCTTCTATAGTAAGGTGTGTGTACTATATCGTCGAAAACAAAAGGTGGCTTGAAAAGGTAATCTTACATCTTCGGCGTGCTAAACGCCTTGAACGCTTTAACAGTGAACAGGGAAGGTCGTTTTATCTTCGAATCAATTAACAGGGGAAATCAGAGTTCTCATTAAACAAATTTTCTTGTAAGAACCTTGGAAGACAATTGAGTGTTCAAGAAAGTGTTCGATACATGCATAAAGGAGAGAAAACTTTCTTGGATATGCAAAATACTAAGGTTAGCGCTTAAATCGAATGGCAATAACGCGCAAGATGCATCGGCCTACCGTCCGCTTTATATGATTGATTCGACCGGTAAACTACTGGAAAATTTAATCAGCCGAAGACTCGAGGAAATATTGAACAGCAACCGTTTGTCAAATCGATAATTTGGATTTTAGAAAGCATACTCCACAATAAATGCCGTTGAAGGCGTCATAACGATAGAAAAAGATGACATGAAAGGAGACCGCTGGCTCGAAGGAGATAATGAATATAGCGTCATCATTGCATTAGATATCAAAAGTGTGTTTAAATCGGCGGATTGGGACATTTTACTAGCAGCATTCGACGGGAAAAATGTCCCAAAGCATCAAATAGAAATAGTTGCTGATTATTTTACAGACAGAATGCTGTTTTATTACACAAAGGCACGAATTTATATTAAGCAGCAGTAAGGGTCTCGGATCGGTACTGAGTCTAACATTATGGAACGTTATGTATGACGAAGTGCTGAGGCTTGAACTCCCAGGAGGCGTAAAAATCATTGGATTCGCTGCTTACAAAGCCCTGATAGTAAGAGACAAGTATATAGGAAAACTAAAAACAATATGCAATGATGCCGTCGCCATTATAAAGAGTTGGGTTACGGGTGCATTTTTCAAGCTTGCTGACCATAAAATTAAATTCCTTTTTGTAAGCAGAATGAAAAAGGTCCAATTAATTGCAATAAATGTTCGGAATAAGCGATAAGCGAACGATCAAATACAATGGAGTAATGATTCACAACAGACTTGCCTTCAAAGAGCACTTCCAATATGTAAGCTATAGCGAATAACACCCAATATAGGTAGACCCAGACAACAGAAAAAGCGATTATTCAAAAATGTAGGTAAGTCTTTTGCTATATATGCGTGCTCTATATTTATTTATTTAAGAACGATTTAACGTAGCACGGAAAATAAAGGTATGTTTTACATGTTTGAAAAGGGGACACCTTCAAAAAGAATGTTCTGCTGTTAAATGCGCGAAATGTAATTTATCTCATCATCTGCAATTTTATGTTTTACCGAAAATCACAAGCTTCAAACCTAATCGTTATGTCGATGTTGCGGACTGGAATTTACCAAAAAATATTCAAATGGCTGATCCAATGTTTAATAAGCCAGCGCGGATAGATTTTTTAATTGGTGCAGAAATTTTCTTCGATTTGTTGTCGATTGGACGAATTTATCTTAATGAAAAATTGCCAACCCTATAGAAATCCATATTAGGGTGGATAGTTGCAGGCAAAGCAGAAGAATGTTTAGCGCCTAGTCATAAAATAAATAATATGCTGATCAATCACAACCATTACGAGAATGAAAACTTGAGTCAATTGGTTGAAAAATTCTGGAAAATAGAACTAAATCAAATTTTTTTAACCGAAAAAGAAGAGGAATGCGAGAAAATTTTCCATGAATCAATTTGCAGAGATACATCTGGCCGATTTATTACGAAAATTCCATTAAAAACAACAGTGAGTGATTTGGGTGGTTCCTATAATGCTTCTAAACAACGGTTGCTGTCACTAGAGCGTAGGCTGAGTAGAGATCGCTCTACACGAGACGCTAACAACGTATTTATGGATGAGTACCACTCTTTAAGTCACATGACGATCGTTGAAGAAGCTGATATGGATAAGATAAAATATTTTGCACCGCATCAGTATGTGCTACGACCAGACTCCACGAGTACGAAACTTCGAGTTGTGTTCGATTGTAGCTGTAAAACTTAAAGTGGCTTGTTATTAAATGAGGTAATGATGAAAGGACCGCTGGTTCAAGATCTATATACTGTTATCTATAATACTGCGATTTAGATGTTACAAATATGCAATTGCGGCAGATGTAACAAAAATGTATCGCCAAGCATGGGTGACTGATGATGATGCAAATTATCAAACGATTTTGTGGAGGTCTTTCTCAGACGAAAACATAAAGGCCTATCGCTTTCGAACCATTACTTATGGTACAACATATGCCCCCTATTTAGCTACAAGATGCTTAAAACAGTTAAGTGAAGATTATATCGACAAATATCCGATTGGATCGAGAAAGGTGTTATCTGATTTTTATATGGATGGTTTGATGAGTGGATCAAACGATGAAGATGAAATTTTTGAAAAATATAATCAAGTGGGAGATACGTTTCGATACGTTTCGCCAGATTTTGATAGCTCGAAAGCGGTGACAAAAAGAATAGTGTCATCGGAACTATCCAAGTTGTTTGATCCCCTTGGGCTTATTAACCCATTAATAGTAAAGGCGAAGATTTTCATGCAAGATTTGTGGATCTTAAAGGCTAATTGGGATGAATCCCTACCAATGAATTTACATAGTAAATGGATAGAATTCCGTGAAAATCTAAAAGATGCCAAGAAAATAAGTGTGCCTCGATTTGTGTTGACAGAAAAAAGAGTTGCTAGAGTTGAAATGCATGGATTTGCTGATGCATCAAAAAGAGTTTTCGGATGTTGTATTTATATTCACTCAATATTTGTGGAGATACGACTTTACGTTGCAGTTGTGGAGTGCTAAATCCAGAGTAGCGCCATTAAAAACTTTATCTATACCAAAATTGGAACTTTTGGCTGAGGAATTGCTGTGGAAACTAGTGACAAAAACCAAATCCAATTTTCCAATTTCTATTGACGCGACCTATTTATGGGCGGATTCCGAATTGTGTTAGATTGGCTGAGCGAGCACCCATCAAATTGGAACACATTTGTTGCCAACCGGGTATCATTGATTCAAGAGCAGACAAAAACGTGTATTTGGCGGCATGTTCCTTCAAAGTCTAACCCACCGGATATAATATCAAGAGGTGCGTATATAGATGAACTATCTACTTATTTTTGGTTTGCAGGTCCTTCTTTCTTGAAGAGAGATTGTTGTGAGTGGCCACCAAATAAGTCTAGAAAGAATACTAATGCTGACGAAGAAAAACCTTCAGCGGTTTTTTTGAAACCTTCAGCGATTTTAAAAAATTACAAAGAATTTTGCCAATCTTCTTGGCTTTCGAAGAAGCATTAAGTCTATCACTAAAAGATTAGATGAAGCACTAGTGCGTATATTCTACTGTTTGTATGCTGGTACGCAAACGCTAATGGCTATAGTTAGGCAGCGATTTTGGATATTTCATGCCACAGGAGTAATACGCAAAATTACTGGTAGTTGTCTACAATGCTTTAGATGCCATCTAGAATTGAGTAATCAGATTATGAGCGATTTACCCTCTTTTAGAGTCACCATAGCGAGGCTATTCACTGTGATTGGAGTGGATCTTTCCGGCCCTATTACAACAACGTATCTACTTCGTGGGTACAGAACAACAAAAAGCTATATTGCTGTTTTTATTTGTTTTGCCACAAAAGCAGTGCATATGGAGGTAGTCTCTGCGGCTCTCGACGCGGCTTATGCTTTAAATTATTTTGCGACAATGCCACCAATTTTGTGGGTACTCGTAAAGAGCTCGAAGAAATGAAATGCAAGTTTTTTGATCAACAAGTGCAGGGCAAGTTTTCAAAATATTGTACTGCCAATAGTATTGAATTTCATCATATACCACCCAGATCCCCTCACTTTGGTGAACTATAGGAAGCGGCTGTAAAATCAGCAAAATATCATTTGGCTAGAATATTGGGTCAATCGCATCTTACATTTGAAGAGCTGGCAACAGGGGTTGCGGAAGTGGAGGCAGTTTTAAATTCAAGATCGTTGACAACCTTGTCTAACGACCCAAATGATGAAAGTGTTCTTACATCGGCACATTTCTTAACAGGTGGAACCTACTGTGGACAGCGAAGAATGGTCTCATACAGATAGATGGCTACGAATTTCGGCCATACAACAGCGTTTTTGGAGAAGGTGGTCGGCGGAGTATCTTCATGAACTTCAACAGAAAGTCAAATGGACTAAGAAGCAGAATAACCTTAATGAAGGTGATATAGTGTAAATTGCAGAAGAAAATTTGCTTCTAAGCAATGGCTTATTGGGAGAGTGCTGAAAGTGACAATTGATGCTAAAGGTTGTGTTCGAGTTGCTGATGTAAAAACAAAGAATAGAGAGGTTTGTCGAGCAATCCATAAGTTGACACCTATTCCATATGAATGTTGATGTCTGCTGGAGCCATCAAAGGCGGCGATATGTTTAGAATTAAAATACAAAAAGGTACATTGTGTTATGGCCTTTATATGTTGTATTACTTTAATTGTGTTGTAGCCTTTATGCTTGCGCTAAAAAGAAGCGAGTTGCTTGGAGGTTTTGTATTATCAATTTTTAATTGAGAAAAGGCAATTTCAAAACGAATTTTAACAAAGTTAATCAGTAAAATAACTGATTAAAAACAATATTTATTTATAACGAATCATTTAGAAGCTTGCAAATAAATTAATTGCATTAAATTGTATTTTATTAGTTTGTAATTTTGCATACTTAAATAAAAGCGCTTTAAAGTTGTTATTTTTTATACAAAGCAATTTAATTGCATTCAACGTTTAAACATTTAATTGCATAAGAATTTCTCGAAACTTTTGTATTTCATTTTTATATTATTTATTTATTTTAAATTTTTATCACATAATTATTTTACAATTTTATTATATTTAAATTTATTTGTCAAGTTATTATATTGCATGATAACCGCACTAAACGGGAATTTGTTCGAATGGCATATTCTATAATTTTTCATAATACCCATAAGTTGTGTGAGTTCAAAAAAATTTTCATAAATTCCAAAAAAAAGATATACGAAAAATATTTAAAAATTTTCAAAACTGCATCTTAAAGTCAAAATAGGCGGTATCACAGACATTGAGCAAATTAACAGATATTGAATGAGGTTGATGTAATCGACAGTATATTGCATTGTGTCAGTTGCAATGCGTGCAATTGTTAAATATTTTATATACCGCCAAGAAGTTTAAATAGTAAGAACAGGTATTGCGCAGATCCGTTATAAAATCATATGAATGGCTGTGACTTCACAATAATTTGCTAACATTTTTTACTTCGACAAAGTTAAAAAACTTTTCTTTAGATCCAGAATATTTTTTAAATTTTGGATTCTGGACAAATTTAACTGCTTGTGAATTGTTGCTAATGATTGTGACGTAGATAAGCAGAACGAAAATTTTTGAACACATGATGACGCGTAATCTTAGTATATAACATTCTTAATATACCGCCAACACTATTTATGTTGTTTTCTCAGATAAATAAAATTAGTTACGTCAAATTAAAGATATTAATACAATTTGAAAAGTTAAATCAGATGTACGGTTATTAAGTATTTGAAATAGAGAAAAAAATTTAATTTTCTTATTAATTGTAGCTTTGCTTAAAGAAAAAAATGCCAAGATTCAGAGCAAAAATAAATCTTTCTAAATACACACAGAGAAGTCAAACTATGATATTAAGACCAAAATTCTGAGGAACGTTTGTGAAATAATCACATCAATAGAGAACGGATGGTACAGTTGCGTTTAAAAGAAATTCAGGACCAAAGAAACCAACGGTTAAACGTTGATATGTTACGACATTGACGAATGCGCCAACACATAATTGATGCAACTAGGCAACAAAATCGAAAGAGCATTCAAAAACAATGTCCATCATTGAATCCACCACCACAGCTATTAAAAACATTAATTTCTGGCATAACAAATAAATCAAAATTATTTTTGAAAAAAAAATCCGATCTAATTCATACTTTCAAATGATATCATTCGGAGCAACAAACATAGTTAAAAATACAAACTTTAATTTCAATGTTTAAAGAATTTGAAAGAACAATTTTATCATCGAATTGGTTCGTTACTATCGAGGCCCGTTGAGGACCCCAAATTTCTGTAAATTTAATTCATGGGCAGTGAGGAAGATAGAGTAAATGCAAGATGCAACTATAATCATATTGAAATAAATGCAGAAAGCGTTTGTAAATGAGAACAATCAGTTAATGAAATTATTCAAAGAAGTGTCGAACAGATTACAAAATGATTTTACATTGTCATGGTCCATATACTTGAACAAGATTAGTTATAGAAATAATTTTGGGGAACTTAATTCAATCAACAATAGTAAGTGGAAAATTCAGAGGCGAAAATGTCTTGCTTCCGCGCATACCAATTATACTAACCAATGTTCTAATTCAATTCAAACGATTGCAATTTCTGATTCGTTTAGTATTTGCGATGACAATTAATAAATCTCTAAGTCAAACACTGAAAGTATATACACTGGATTTGGAAAATTCATGATTTTCACGTGAGTAACTATATGTTGCATATTCCCGTGCTGGAACACCTTCTGATTTACATATAAATGCTCAAGATTGCCTAACAAAAAATTTTGTTCATGATTTCGATTTAAGATTCATTACCATTACAGAAAAAATAAATTCAAAATAATTTTCGACTTAAATTCTAAAGGTTCAGTTGATATTTACAAAAGCTTCTTACATGGATAAATCTGACAATCTCTTTATCTACACTGATATGGATATAGCAACAAGTATAGCAAAAAATAATAGCAAAAAATCGAAATGACACTAACTTTTACTGATGATACGCCGATTTACAGTAAGCCGCGACGTTTACCTATCAGTGAAAGGCAAATCGTAGATCAAGAAAATGAACGGTGGTTAAAAGAAGGTATTATTAAAGCATCCGAGTCAGAATTTTGTATCTCTATAGTACTTGTATGAAAGCTTGATGGCGCTCCAAGATTATGCAGAAAT